TGAGATCAGCAAACATCACAGAGGATGGAATGGAGACATTTGCATAACAGGTGGGCATTCCCGCTTCACCTGAGCACCTCAGCCAGCACCACTTCCAAAGGGAGCCGACCCTTGCTGAGTGCATCTCTGGGCTCTGCTTGGGTTCGGACAATGGGAAACCCTGGCAAGAATTTGGAGGCTGGGGAAAAAGGGAGATCTAGGTATTTCTTTCCCACTCCTCCTTGCTTTGATTTCACATCTCAAAGGTTAGCTACACAGAACAGGATGGAGAAGATGGAAAAGGGATCTGGAAAAGGACATGCTGAAAATAATTCACCCAGAGATTGTTTCTGAGATGGGAATTTCAGAATGTTTGTCATCATGGCTCAGCTTTGGGAGAGGAGGCCCTGGGTCTAGTGCACTGTTGGGGTCTCCAGACCCTCATGTTGGCCTGTTCTCAGCCCAGAATACTGCCCAGGGGCAAAGATCAGCTCACCAGGATAGACACAAGTAGGCAGGGACTGAGGCAGAAGGCTGCCAAGTTTTTACCCAAAAGCACATCTATATGGAAATGCTCTCTTGATGTAATACTTGATGTGGTTTTAAAGCTGTTTGACAGGCATTATTTCATTTGATTCCCTAATAACCCTTTGAGATAAATATTTTACTGATGGGGAAACTGACTTAGTCAACACTACTGGACAAGTAAACTGTGAAAGAAAACAACAACCGGAGTCTACTGATATTCAGGCTGTGATCTTCCTGGTCTATGATCTATATCATCTTTAACTGATCTGGGCTCCATTCCCAGCTGCACCCCTTATAAGTTGTGTGACCTTGGTCATGTGACTCAACCTCTCTGTATATCAGTTTCTTCATCAATAAGACAAACACAATATGTTTCTTTCCTGATTGTTGTAAAGACTAAGTGAGAGAGAGGGGCCTCTCAGAGGCTGGGAGAGGAAGCTACGTTTGGGGCTTTCCATGGGAAGCCAAAACCAGACCTTCTGCAGGGCCTGAAACTGGTGGAAGGACCTGGGAGGGGCCCTTACACCTGACTAATGGAGTGTGTGAGCCCTGGGCTTATACAATCACAACCAATAGGAGGAACCTCTGACCCTCACCCTCACCCACTGACTAAATGGTACATGCCACCAGCAGGCAGGTGGGAACTAAGCCAGATTTTTATTTATTTTTATTATTTTATTTTTTTATTACAGTCTACATTCAACACTTTTGTAATAGCATTAGATGTACAACACAGTAGATAGACATTTATATAGGTCAGCAATGTTCAACCGGTGTGCCCCAAGAATTTTTAAAACATGAAACTATTTAGTCAGGGGTACTGACCTCTTTTTCCTTACATTATCAAATTTTTAAAAAATGACAACAGCCAACACAACACTAGCCATCCAGTATGAATGAATCAAAATTATGCCTATTTTATTTTTGTTAGATCAGCAAAAATATATGTTTTGGTGTGCTGCAGAATTTTAGTAATTAGTTTACGTGTGCCATGAGATGAAAATGGATGGTACAGGTTACACAGTGTTCCCTCCGATAATTCAAGTGCCCACCTGGGTCCATCGATAGTTATTACAATACTAGAGGCCCAGTGCATGAAAATTCATGCACTGAAGGGGGAGTCCCTCAGCCCAGCCTGCCCCTCTCACAGTCTAGGAGCCCTCAGGGGTGGGAGGCAACCCGGCAATCAGGGGAAGGCAACG